GGTGTGTTATGGCATCCGGCTGCGGAGTGCCGTTGCTGGTCCATGTCTGCTGAACATTGTTGATGCTGTCAGATGATGTTTCGCCATCCGCCGCATCAAGGGCAGAGGACTCGTCTGGGACGTTGTTACTATCGGCCTTCCTGGCGACATGTATACGCGCCGGCCCAACAGATGCCCCTGAGGTTGCTTGATCGTCGAAGCGTTCATCGTCGTCCGTGTCGTAGTCACTGGCGACTTGTTGATGCGCGGAGCAAGTACTCCCGACTTTATCAAAGGGCACCTGGTTACCAGAATCCCGGTCGTTGCCGGAGTCTCCACTGGTGTGGTTGCCCACAGAAGAGCAATCGGCGTCAAAGATTTCAAGATTGTCGAAACGTTCGTCGTCATCGACGTCGTGGATCGCATGCACCTGCGAGAGGAGGCGATCTCCCTCATCATCACTGTCGCTAATGCTCGCCAGTAGCGTAGCTGCTGTAGGTATTGTTGTCCGGCTTTTCTGTAAGATGTAAGCACAATTCAGCGGCTTCATGCCAAGCTGGTCGCATGCGATGTTTGCAGTGAGGAGTGCTCCAGAACTGGTGAGTTTTGCAGGGTCAGCCAGTTTCGTTACAGTGAAACTCGGAGGCGATGACGCCGGATATGCCGCTTTCTTGTCGATGAGATAATCAGCGTAGGTGGCCCATGTCCCCGAGAGACGAGATAAGTTCCCGACAACAAATCTGGCCACCTGTGCCCGCGTCAGTGCGACGTTGCATTGTTTCGGGCATTTCTGAAGCGGGTTCAGCGAGTTCCCACCAGTGGCACAGAGCGACACGATGAGGATCTGGCGCTCCATCCCCTGACAAGCAGCAAATGTAGAGACGCACACAGACTCTCCCAGGAGGTTCTTAAGTAGGTCCACCTGCGCGCAGAACGGCGCGAGGACGAGGATATGTTTAGGGTCGACGCCTTGCGATGTGAATCGCTGGACAAGAGCAGCCACGACACTAGCTTCGCTACTTGCAGTGCCACTGTCAGGAGTGGTTATCCACCCTTCTTTTGGGTTGAGCTCATAGAGAGCCTCAGTCGGTGCTGCTGCTGCGGCTGCTACACGGCCTCGGTAAAAGTGTCTATATGGGAACATCAGGTCTGGATGCCCGCGAAACTGTTCGCCTAAGATGTAGACGGAGTCTTCTGCCCGAGTGACCAGTCGAGTGAGAAGCGAGATCCCGATCTCCTTGACAGAGTTGACCCCTTTGCCATGGTATGGACCCATCTGACGATGGTCGCCGATGAGGATGCACCGGGGCGCACGCTCGATGACGATCCAATAATAAGGCTCGCTCAACTGGGAAGCCTCATCAATGAGCGCGGTGTGGAAGGTTGCCTCCAGTGTGGCAGCAGTTGCGACGGTGGCCACGACGACATCAGCATGGCTGATAATTCTCTGTGTCAGTGTCTTGGTTAGTGTGTCATATTTCTCACGAAGCTTGCGCTTTTGCTTACCATTTGCACTAGCGATTTGTTTCCAAAGAGCTGCAGCTTCAGGGTGTAGAATGTCAATGATCGTCCAGACGTCGAGAGGATCAGGAGTAGTCAGCTGAGCCCGTCTCGTCTCGCTAAGCACCTTCACTACCTTAAGTCCCGACCTCTCCGCACGGTACGAAAACCCCGAGCACGCGGCATTACCTGGCGCGACATAGAGCACAGGCCCACGATTCGTCGATATTTGCGTGGCCAGTTCCGCACTAACGCGCGTCTTGCCGGTTCCAGGCGGACCCCAGACGCAAATCATGGCATGCTCCGGCTGAGTGAGAGCACAAGACAGCAAACTTCTATGGTTTTCCATGGCTGAATCATACAGATCGACGTCTTTTCCTGTTCCGGTGGCCGGCGTTAGTGTACGTGGAGACGCGACGAGGCGCCCGGCAAGATGCATGCGCTTTAGTGCCGATTCACATCGGTCTATCGCTACCGTACGCGGGTAGTATGTTATGGTCGGAGTTGTGATTATGGTCTGGGGAAGAAGTTCCGGAAACACGAAGTGCCGCCGTTTGACTGTCTGTGATTCATGGGACTGCATCTGTCCAGCACTTTCGTACTCAATTCGACAAGATGCAAATGTGCCCGAGGCAGGAAGAGCAACCTCGCCAGACTCACCCCCTGTCACCTCTATGCTTGGCGGTGTTACGATAATGCGTTCTTCTGCTTGGACTGCCTTCTTTTCTCGGGCAAGAGCTTTGAACCAGTAGTCGAAATATTCTGTCGGGCTCATCGCCTGAAGTTTCTCGAAGTCAGAGTTGACAAAGACACTATCGGCAGACCCTTCGGTGGATTGGAATCCTTTCACTGGCGGGGATACTGCCGACGCAGTTGCAAACCCGTCACCCAGGTAGTGTTCACCGTCAAGGTACTCATCATCATCAGCAGCTTCCTCGTCAGAAATCTGCGAGCGGTCATCACTGTAAACGGAGGTAGCACTGCATGACGCAGCATATACAGACGCAGGAACCGACTGCGCCTGAAGCGAGATTAAAGACTCCGACACCGGGCAGATCCGTCGGGAGGGACGATTCGACGGAGATGAGAAAATAGCCCCTGCATCGCTTTCGATGTCAGAGGTAGGCGCCCCTTGGTCGCTGGGGTTTTGGTGGTCAGAGGGTAGATCTTCTTCGTTTTCACTGTCACGCACAGCTTCAGAATGCAGAGAACCAAGCGAAGCAACTTCGTCAAAAGTGGAGCTTCTGGGATGCAATTGCTCGACGCTATCAACTCGAGGCAAAGTGCACTCTGAGAGATAACCCGAGCGATAACCATTCTTACTATCATTACTGTCACACTCATTGGCGTGATCTGTTTCGGGATCCACTAAGGGAGAGCCCTTTACTTCGTCAATTTTGTTTGATAAAGACACCACTTCAGGCGTCGTGATATTTACTCCAGCGGAGCTGTTTCTGAGGCCGTTGTTCCGGTCAACGCCCCGACGGACTGGCCGCTCCCCGTCGAGGCTGCTTCGAAAAAATCTGCCGTGCAAGGAATTCGCACCCTGTTGCGCAGATCGCGTAGGGTGGCGACAGAGTAACTAGTGCCACCTACCTCGACGTCCTTGGCACAAGAGATAGCCAGCCCAAATTTCAGATGCCTCACAATCTCGCTTGAAGGAGGGATTGGAATTGCAGAACTGCCGGCAGCTACACGGGCACAGGCGTCCTCGAAGGTACCAGTTGGGTTTCGTGTTCGACTGAAAGCGACAAGTCCCATATCCTTGAGGACCTTCTCAGAAACTCCAACTTTAGCGCAGAGCTGGACCATTTTCGAGCGCTGACTGTCACTCGTCCGAATTCGGCTGATAGTACATCCCGGACAGTAGCCTGTGACACACAGGACACAGATTCGCTGAGCGGATTTCTGTGAGTACTTGACAGAGCCACCAGACTTGTCCCTGATGACCATTCTGGCGATGCCATACTGGTCACGTGGGTAAGACACTTCGTAGTGTTTGTTGAATGGATCTTTGGTGTATGTTGTGTGCTGGAATCTCAGTTCGAGAGGCACCTCCGGCGACGAGCTTCCTGCTGCAACTCCCAAGCCGTTATTACTAGTACTAGGAAGAGCGTCCGGTAGAGTCATACGGCTGCGGCTCCCCAGGGTGTCACTGACGGTGGGACCAGCGCCAAGACCTAAGCCAGCACTTCCCGAGGAGGTGCTCGGTGTGGTTTTGGTATTTCCAACGGTAAGCTTTTTCAGCATCTTTTCCAATTCATCTAATCGCGCGGCTGCAGATGTTGCCTCCGTTGGGATGTACTTCAGACGGCCAGCACCTTGTTGGAAGTAAGTCCCAGCCTTACGCGCAGGGAAAGCCTCTAGCGGACGACTATGCACCGAAACACGGCTGACTTGCATCTCCTTCAAGACGACGAAGAGAAGATTGAAAGTTGCCAGGAGAAGACGGTTAGGAAATCCTTCATGATTGTCAAGGAAGGCCGCCGAGAATTCCTCCACTTTCTTCTCGAAGACTTCAGATTGTCGCACGTAGTTATCCAGTAGACAGGCCATCTCATCCTGCACAAATGGGTGGTTTTTCGCAAGTGCATGCGGTACCTCAAGCCTAGCCTCGACCAACTCTTTCATCTTGTCGTTGAATTTGCGAAAGAGGCTCATCTGGGGGTTGGGATGCGGCTGAATTGGTTTCGCCATGAGATCAAAATAGGTTCGCAGAGCACCTTTCATGACCTCGATTTCCCCACTATTACGATCCCGCTTGGCGTTTCGTTGGTCGCTAAGCATGGAATCGATGAACCGTTCGACAGTTTCCCTCATCCTTTCGGCGCGCGTCATGCCGTCCGAGCGAGCGACCTTTCGCCGGAAACCCTCCAAGTTTGGCGGTTGCTTTTCAAAGATGTCCTTTTGTTTACCCGTGTACCCATATTGTACTTTGGCTGCTTCTGATAGGGTATCCCAAAGGATACCCAAAACGTCAGTCAATCCTTTAGCAGAGGAGCGCTCAGCGATGTGGCGGCCGGTGCATACAAGATTATGTACATCAGCCAACCAATATTCGTCCTCAAAGGAGGGAGGGCGGGACTTCACCAAATCCACGTAGGCCTGACATGTCGTAGGAGTGGCCAACTGCGGACTTGTCCTACGGCTAGTAGGTATCGCGTCCGCAATATCCTCCAGCGAAGTGTATAAACTCCGCTTTTTGATTTTTACTTGTTGTTGCCGCATGCCGTAAAAACGGGCGACGCGGCGAAGTATCGCCGGGAAGTCCTCGTCGAGAATGTCTCGCCTGTCCTCGAACATCTTTTTCTGGCAATCCTGCCGCCAAACTACGGAGACAGAGTTGCTGATAAGGATATCGATGGGACGCACGCCCTTCGGCAGCCTGATGATGGCATGAACCATCGCAGAAACGTCATCCTTGGTGAGTAGTGGATGTACACCTAGGTGAGCGCTGCGAACGATAGAAACATCGTCTCGATCATCACCGGCAGTAACAGCGTTAGAAAGACCAAAGAGAGGCGGAGCTGAGTCTTTTCCGTCCTCGTCATCAGTGAGAGCAAAGTCCGCACCAGCCTCACGAGGAGCACCCGCCGCAGCAGCGACATACGCGTGATCATGGACGGCGCTAGTAAGTGCCCTGGGTCTGGGGGCTACGCCTGTGTTTGAGGTAGTGCCGCCTTTGATGCTGCCAATGAATGACGCAACGTCGAAGCGATCGTCGCCACCAGCTTCACTCTCGGCAAGGTCAGCCTCATCCCGGTGTTCCTCGTCACCTTCGTCAGCGTCATCAGAGTCGAGGAATTCATCAGCGAGGTCGGCCTGATCGGCGTCCCACTTTTCCCACTCATTTTCTTCATCGTCTTGCCCTGCAAGCAAAGCGTTGACAACTCCGCCTCCGGGCCCGGCGGGGACGAGAGAGGCCTCACCGTCGGTGTCTTCGCGACGTCGCTTGATACTAGATGAAGCGTCCTGGTTTTTGTACCTCTCAGCGAAGCCAGCGGCATACTGCTGATCAGGAGTTACGAGCTCGGACTGGATGCCGAGAAGATTACAGATGGCGCGGATTTGGCCGTCCACGCCCTTCTTTGGGCCACCGACTACGAGTTTCTGGCCTCTTTCGAAGTAACGGATGCAGACAGTTCCGCTGGAGGTGTTGAGGTCAGCACTGACGCCAAGCGCCTTCTTCTGACGTTCTAGAAGATAAACGCCGTCAGCGTTTGTACCCAGGAGGACTTCGACTTTTGGCCAAGTGACCCAGATGCTTCTTGCCCGTTTAGGGTCAGGACCTTCCACAAAGCCCTTCTTCTGACGTCCACGGCGCACCACAGGCGGCCTGCGAGAGAGATTGGCAGCGAAATCTGCGAAGCTTGGCATTTTGTTTCTGAGTAGTGTGAAGACGAACGCCACACCAGTTTAGAAAGTAGATAAGCGTGAACCACGCGCGAACACAAGATAGGCAAGGTTTGGTCTGTTGTTGTTGCAGGATTCAGAACCAAGGTTCAGAAGAGAGCAGATGTGGTCACCGTCCCCAAGTTTTGATCAATGAAGAGCAGCACAGCCGGGCAGAAAGATCGGAAATTTTTGCGTTTTTTCGCTTTTACTCCCACAGCGTTCAAGTCCGGTTCACTTTTTAGTGCAAAAATCGATAGGGTGTTAGAGTAAGATGGGGCCGATGCATCCGAATTTTTTGTCCGCCCTGGGCGAACAGGTTTTGCGGGCGCGGACTGTTTGACAAAGTCCGCTACGGGAGCGGTGGACTCGACTGTTGCCGAACCTGTGCTGTTTTGTGGTGCTCTTGTTAGGCCTGTGGCCTTTGCTTGCTGTTGTGGTCACGACTGTTGTCGAGCCTTTGCTTTTTGTTGTCCCCGTCGGTGCGGTGGACTGCCTCCTTGTTGTCTTGTCTATCGAGGGCAACCCGATGACTTTTAGACTGAGGAAGGCTTACGAACCTTGTTTGTGCTGTTGTGAAGATTTGAATCTTCCTTGTTGGTTTTGTGCTTTTGCTGCTACGGACTTCCTACCGTGGTCACCACGTAGTATTGTAGTTTAGTGGTCTCTCGGAGTTGTCTCTCATCAAGAAACCGACTACAAGGTCAGCCCGGTGTATTCGTAGCAGCGGGCAGGAGAACAGAAACGGGCCGGATATTTTGTAACAGTAAAAAATTACTAGTGCAGGTTTTTTAGCTAAGCTAATGCAGGTTGACCGAAGTCGTTCAAGTTGTGACCGGAGTCGTTCAGGTTCGTACTTTTTCCCTGTCGGGTTGTTTTGGTCTTGAGCGGGAAAGTGTGAAAATCATGCAAGTAAAAATAGGCCAATATTTTATACACGTAACACCATAGAAATCAGGAAATTCATCGAGATGCATCAATTCATTTTTTCACGATTTTAAACAGCACCAGGAACAAGAAAAAGCAAAGGAATCCAATATTTTTCGAAAGATTGCCGGGGCGTGATCATCGATTTTTTATTTGGATAGAAACACGAGCAGAAACCAGAAGCATGCAGATTTTTATTTTGAACATTAAAGCACCAGGGGCATGATCGTCATCATCATATTTTTGAACTTCTAACCTTTACCATAGTAGTACCATCATCGGGAGATTTTTAAGATTGTAATTTTTTAGAACTTAAGGCATTGAGAACGGGGAAGGATCGGATTGGAAGCGAGACAGGATTTAGATCGCAAGACTCTATTACGAAAAACTTCTGCTATTCTCTTCTTTACATATTACTTCTTCTACCTCTACATCGATCTACTATTCTTCTTGCGCTTGAGGATGGTCTTCCCTTATGCTACTCGCTCTACCTCCTCTGCTAGACTAGCCGCTTAGTTCGCTATACCTCTTATTTTAACCCCTTGAAGGTCGAGAAGTAAACTTTTGGAGTACGCAATAACTCAACTCACTTCCAACTCGTAGCTTTTTCGGATTTTACTGACACGAAAAGAGCAAAATACCCTTCACGCAAAATCTATATTAGAAGCAACACTGGCTCAGTGGCAAGACGATAAAGCACATATATGGCACCAGTGAGTTAGTTCTTCGACTATAGCAAGGCGCGCTCGAGTCTTACTACTAAGGTCAGCAAACCTACGATTGATCGCTGTCGGAGAGATCATAGGAGACAACTACTGCTGGATGTGCGGAAGTACGGCCGCCCCTCAAGATGAATTGGCAGAAGCAAAGCCCCACCAAAAGAGTCAGAGTTTGTAGTAGGCTAACCCCTCAAGAAAGATAGATGTGTAGAAGTCTATTCCCCCAAGGTAGATGTGACAGAATGTGTAGAAGTCATAGTAACCCCACCACGAAGTCAAAGGGACGCCCCTTGCTTGCTATTCGCTTTCGCAATATGACCATAGCGCGGCACTAACAAAAAATCCTTTGTGATTGGTAGTCGAGTAGTGCGCTTTCTTCCCTTCATAAAAAATATTTTGGGGTCAGTTTTCGACGAGTGTGCTATATTCCCCATAGCTGGAAGGCACTCTAAGAAGGAGCAAAAGGAGCAGGGGCTCCGGTCGGATCAGGTCGCAATATGCGACGACCATACACGAATTAACTGAGAGGACACTGAATTCCAGACCACATCGTCGCCGCATCCCTAACGACCACACAAGGCCATCGGCGGGATGCTGCGTTTCCTGCGGTTGGGAGCAGACGCTTCTGCAATGGAAGGCCCCGCCTCTAGCCTTTGGTCTTCGTTATCTCCTCCACAGTCAATGAGCGTGGATACGAGATACACTTCTTTTATTTTGCACCGCTTCTATCTGATAAATGGTAACTAAGGTAACACGAGCAACACTAGACATCTTCGAAGGCTGGTAAACTGAACAGCACTCCCCGGCCCATATTTTTATGAACAGAAACGGACTGAAAAGCAGTGAGGATGAAAAAGAAGGCGAATCATGATAATTACTTATATATGAATACGCACGATGATCCCGGTGAAGTAATTCTTTTTACACAATCACACTGGATGGAGCGGCCTGTAGAAGTCACGCCCCTCGCGTTCCTATGCCATACTTAGCAGACGCTTCCCGCTGGCAAATTACAGCGATAGCCGCAGACCCAACAGCGGACCCTCCTCTCCGTTCATTTTCCTAATTCTAGCATTACTCTCGTAGCCTCAGTGGCTTCACACTATTTCGTAGCACTCCTTTAGAGGTTTCGCACCGCTGATGTAGCTGTAGTTCCAGTGCGTTCGCCCTGCTGGCACTACTTCAGACCCCTGACACTACTACTCACACTTGTCTACAACTACGCCTACTCCACTAAGCTCATTCTCGGGCGCTGCTCTTGCTTCTATCACGTTCTTAAAGAACCCCGCGCGGCTTCTCTCGATGCTTTGGGGCTTATCAGATTCCAAAGGCTGTCGCTGGCATGGGTGCCCTCGCTCGCTTTTTTCGCTACTTGATGGGCCTAGAGGCTAACCGCGCCGCTGCTTGTTGATAAATGAAACAAAGAAGATGGCACAAACGGCTTCTACGCTGTGGGGCATCTCGATAAACTCTATATGTATAGGCGCGCACAACAAACGGGAAGGGCGCGACCCCCCGCGAGTTTCACGCCTTTTTGTGGGAAATGAAGCTAAGGCAAACGATACTAGGTACGCCCCATCTTCCTCGAACCATAATCCCAAACCCCCCCCCCCCAAATGGGTAGCATTGCGCCTGGGTTGGAGACTCATACTCAGTGCCCCGACAGACCGACGGTCCACCCCATTCGGCCGAGGCGAGTAGAATTGATGCCCAGCCGGCTATGGTCTTTTTCCAAACTTTCTTCATCTCGCAGATGCTGCGAATTCTTCGGTGGAATACCCTGGAAAAAGTGTAACAAGCATAGCCGCCATCCTAAGTCAAAACTATTTGCGTCCGCCTTGGTCGTTGCGAGAGGAAACAGAAGCGGGTCGCCAGCCACTTAGTAGCACTTCTATGGCTAGTAAGAAACTGGGTGCCCCCCTTTAGTCGTCTCTCTGGAGTGCGTGCACACAGCCCCCCAAAAGTCATACCTATTTGCATCAAGATTTCCCATAAGTCGTCGCACTTCTTTAAAAAAAATATTGACACGTCGCACACGAAGACAAAAGCCGAAGCTGTAACTGTATGCCCACCAGTTAATACAACGCTAAGCCCCTCAGTGTGCATTTATCTATTTAACACAGCCGGCACCGAGGTGCCGCCACTGGCGCACAGAGTTTAGGTTGGAGGAATCTTGCTAGTGTCATAGGATCCTTCAAAGACAAGAAAGAGGCACGAGAGCCGCGCACCCCCTTCCCCGGTGGGGGGGAAGGTGTGCTTTCGTATATTTCTTCAAGTTTGTCACCCGAGCAGAAACAAGAACGCCCTGCTCCAATTTCAGGCCTCGCCCCTCTTTCGAAGGCTTCAGCCTTCTTTTGATGCAATTCGTGGAAATACACGAGCGCAGCCCCCCACTTGGTGAAATCCGCTACATTTCTGCGTGGAAGTACACCAGCGCGGCCCCCGACAGACACCTCCTGCCCCAAATGGTCCTACGACGTAATGGCAATGACGATCCCCACAACCCTCTCAAACGTCTGCCGCCCTTCTTTTGTTTTGTTCTAAAAGTCCCTAAAAATTATGGCTAGACGCGGTCGTAAGCTAACTGCGCTGCCCGAGGTTGGTTGCAGTTATATCCATGAATACACAGGCCCGCCCAGTATGCTGAAAGCGGTTGAGGGTTGACTGCTGGTAGCATCAGTCTACTACATATTCAGCTTTCAAGCAAGTAGTTAGAACCCTAAGGCAGCCTCCTGACTGCGGTTGGGGGACGATGAGTCCAAAAGATATTAACAAGCATGCGCTTCGCCCCAACAATGCTCTCACCTGCACACGCTTTATCTTCAAACATTTCTGCAAGTACCCGATGGAGAATAGCTGCGGCAGCACTCCCATTGGGATGCAGTAGGCACCGAGGTGCCAGCAATGTTGGGGGAAGCAACATAAAAAAAATTCATGCGGGTCGTGATGCTGATACGCCCATCGCCTAGCCGTTGCGGCTAGAAGATAGCAGACATGTGCCACGCCCTGAAGCTAGTTCACAAGCGAACCCGTGGCCCACCGTATAACTCTTTCTGCCCGCCCCTTCCTAAATATTCCCGAAAATACCTCATCGGCACCCGAGATGACACCTCCAGAAACGAGAATCAACACCACGAACAAGAGGATTTCACTGCTAAAAGAGGCCCGCACACTTTCATAAGTTTTGATAAAGTTGCGCCGTGTCTCCTATTGAGACGCCAGCGCGTGTTTGTCATGACTTAATCCTGGAAGTAGTTCTATTCCGCGACGAAGACCGCCCCTGGCCTCTACACAAAGAACATAGTCTATGTTTACCACTTATTCGATAGCCCTTAAGTCGCCAGCCGGTCGCTGTCTGAGACCTTTCATGACATACTTAGCAAAAACTCTACCGCATCTATGGTTCCGTTCGCACGCTGACTAAAAAAAGAACAAAAGGGCTACGCATGCCTGAGAGCATGGGTTGTGTCTGCCCCCTCAAAGCCAGCCCAGCCCGCTGGGTATCAGTAATGGCCCCTTCCCGCTGCTTCTTGCAACATTATAATATTTCACACCACCTCCTCCTCGCGATTTCTTACATTCATTGGCAGTAGCAGCTAAAAAACGGCACCCTTATGAAGAGGTTGGCAAATACTTAAACACGCTGGGACAGCTTCCTTATAGCAACGACGGGGACACTAATTCTGGCGCCCCTTGCGCTTCACTTGAACAGATGGCGGGCTGACATCGATTAGAAAAAAACAGGAACGAGCAACAAGGAGCCAGAGACACCCTACAAACACCCGAGTGAAGCACGCTTCCCCATAAAATTCCAATCGCCATCACCGTGCCATCTTCGGCAAGCATACTCGATTGCCAGTGCTCAAGCAAAAGCAAAAAAAGTAAAATAATCACAGACCTGTCAAAAATCAATCTTAATGGAAATTAGGCAGCAGAATAATAGAACAAAAGAACGACACTCCCTACACCCCGAGAAACGCACCTCTTACACACCATATCCGATCAAGCCGGCCTGCCATTCAAAGCTAATTCTAAGTACGGACGCGGCCACTATTTACAAACAAAGTCCCAAGTTTCTCGGCTCCAATTCGACACCAATTATGGACCCTTTTCATGTGGGTCGGTCGGCATTCTTCTGCATCATCACCTCGAAGTCGTCGATCCTTATAGGCACGACATCGTCGTTGACAGCTTCTGCCGACTTTTCGAAAACGGCCTGCTGCTTACCACGGGCCGCTGGCGGCCAAACAGAGATCTCCTTCACGGCAAAAGTAGGCGCATCCCCCGGACTGTAGAACTTCAGACCTTCCTCCGGCTCACGCGCCTTCCTGTTGATTTTCGCCAGAGGTCGCATTCGCCGTTGCCCATACATCTTCTGCACGCAGCGCATGATACTAAAGTAACCTTGAGAGCGCGACTCCAGGTCTTGATATACGACGAGAGCCTTTTTGGCAGTGGGTGAACCATCCAGACTAGCCCACTAGCAGCATCAGATTGACCGCGCGGAGATGAAGGATGCTGAATTCTGAGTATAGGCAAGGAACCTGGTCGCGAAACAAAGCGAAGCGATGCCGCCTGTAGGCGAGTGTGGGGGACTACCGATCAGGAGAGGGAGAGGAAAGAGGGAGGAAAAGAAAGATCCGAAACAGAACGAGAATGAGAATCGACTACGAAGCGACTGCGAGGTGGATAGCGACTAGACCCGCCAGCGAAAGAAGAACCGGCCCCACGCGTCATGAAAACACGCGCGGCGCGCAAGATGCGCAGCCACCAAGATTCGAGACAGAGAACAGACCGACGCCAGCAGAATGCAAGCCCTCGCCCTCTCCTTCTCCGACGGGAGTAGAAATTTTGGACTGAGACTGGACAACGACAGCGCAGATGAATGAGCAAGCTTCTAAAGGTGAAGAGCCTGCTTGCCGGCTTCGTGGCTGGGTGAGCTGCTGCCTCTGACCAATGTCATAAAGAGCAGCGCCGCATTACTGCCGCCGCTTTGCAATAGCGAGCCTGCGCTTTCCATTGCCGGTCTGTTGTGCTATCGAATAGCTGTAGCAATTTCGTAAAGCTTGTGAGCGCAGGTCCTGACAGTAGAAAAAAAAAGACCCGGGCTCGATTATGAAACGAAACGACCGCGAAGAGGCTCGCGACTAGACTCGAAAGCGATCGGAGAAAGAAGCGGCTCGGCGTGCTATAAGAGCACGCGCTGCGTGTGGGATGCGCAGCCCCCAAGATTCGAGACAGAGAAGAGACCGACGCCAGCAGAATGGCTCTCGCCTAAGTGTGTTATAGCAAACACCTGCGCTGCTCTGCCATAACTTAGAGCCAATTCTTGTATTTTCGCATGTGCCGTCCACCTCGTGCCAGCCACCGGGGCCTCCGGGGGCGGGAGGTAATGCTATTTTGCAGGGGTCCCTTTCTTTCTTCCACCCGAAGCCGGTTACCCAAAACCGGAGCCGGGCCCCGGGTATGAAGGGTCCGAACATGGCGTCACCTCTTGCCCCCCGGTAAAGTCCAAAAGTTTGGCGAGGTGGCGTCTCTTCTATTGTTTCTACGCGTATCACATTGGGCAGCCGCACGCCGCTCTCCGGCTTATGGGGATCTTTTAGGGCCATGTTCGGCGGCCAGTTGATCGGCGTACTCGGCTTGCCACCGCGGGGCAAGGTACGTCGTCCCGCGAATATTTTTGCACCTTCATCAAAGCTCACACAGGCATTCTCGAGGATCGCGTAACGGAATTCCCGAAGTCCAGCTGATATCCATGCGTATTCTTCTTCGAGTATATCGTACCGTACGCGGGTGTCTCTTTTGGGATTGTCCGCAACGAGTTCCGTGTAGGGTCGATCTTCGGGGTCGTTCTCGAAGGGCGGGATGGCGGAGAAGGAAAGCAGCTCAAAATAATTGTCTTGCGGGTCGTTCGGATTGTCTGGGTTCGGCCACTTCGGCGTATACTTGACATTTTCCACCTTGTCGAAGTAGTGCAGCTGCCAAACGCCGCCGCCATCAGGCGCTCCACCGAGTCCCGGAGTGAATGTGATGTGGACGACTCCTGGCCGCTCGGCGGTCTGCGCTTTGTCCATCCGCTGGAGGAAGTTTCCATCAAGGGCAGTTTGGTTGAGTTCGTGAGCAGACGTGGCATCGCTGGACACAGAGTCGGCTTCCATCGCGCCCCCAAGCCTGTGGCCCTTCTTCGGTTTGAACCCATGCACACCCACGGCCGCCCCCGGATCTCCACTAGGAACCACCGCAGCCGTGCCGTGCGAGCGCTGGAGAAAATCGTCGACAGTCGCTGTTTCGTTTAGGAAGTGAACAGGCGCGGTATAGTTCGAGGGCAAGGAAACGCCCACCGCACCTCTCAAAGAGCGACGCCCCTTCGGCTTCGAGGCGAAGAAGGCCCCCGGCTTCGAGGCGGAGCCGGTTTCATTAGCGCCTGTAAGTCAGTATGCGTCTGTGGTTGAGTGAGTATGAGATCTGTTCTCTTCCCTTCATTTGGTTCCCCTGTATTTAACCTTGTCAGCCGTACTGAGTAACTGTGAAGGCGCAGACCTAAGTAGAAAAACAAGAACAAAGACCCGAGAAAGATAGAAAAAGCGAAGGCTATCTATCAAGAGTATTCTTATCCCCCGGTCAGCCTTGCTGGATAATCAGAGGATGAGGCTTAATTCAGGGGTATCCTACCAAGAAGTCTATTGGAGATTCCTGCTTTCCCTTCAAGAGGGATGCGACCTCATTAAGGACTACCCAGCGAACACACCACCAGCGCCAGGTAGTAGTAATAAAAACGCGACCACTCAGTCAGAGCGGCCCGGAGACCGTCGAGGGATGGCCAGAAGTAAAAGGATTCACACAAAATTAAAGCCCCCAGACCAAAATCCAAATAGCTCAAAGCGGAAATCCGGGAAGGGGGGGTGGGAAATCTAAAGCATGAAGACTCGCTGATTACTCAAACAAGAGAAAATCTTCCTTCAGTCACCGACTTCTATCAGTCAGAAATCAACTACCTCTTGCCCACAAAAAAGCGATCACTCAGTCAGAGCGGCCCAGAGGCCGTCAAGAAGAGAGGGCCAGTTGTAAATGCTTACTGTGGTACGATCCGCACAAAATCAAAATCCCACAAACGGTCCCGAAGCTCCCTAGAATACTCCTCTGAGCAAGCCGCGAAACTCACCCCCGCCACAAATGTGCTAGCCTTGCCCCCAAGACCCTCGGCAAACTCGCCGAAAACAGGCAGCAACACATCGAGCAAACCAAAGCCACCACTGCGGCAAAGGCCAAGGCCTTCACGCTTATGAGCCTACGGGACTCAGCCTGCGCGTAGCCGATCACGACCGCAGGCGATTCGGCTCAAAGTCTCAGGGGTATAGTCAAAAACTTTGCTGGTTTGAGCTACAGTGGCGAAGCTTTTTGCTGTATCGTCAGGAGCTAAGCTCAACACCTTCGAAATTCAAAAAGCCGACCCAAGACCGTAAGCCCAAGGCCTCCGGCGTGGCATGTCATTCACCTACGATCGCGACCGCGGCCAACACGGTGCCCATGATGTGTAGCCAATCACGACAGCAAGCAACCGAAATAAAATTCTAGGCGACAAAGCTTAAAAAGCCCCCTAACTTGGGCGAGCGTGCCCAGCGTTTCCACTTTGTCTGCCGCGACCAACTCTCAGGCTTTTCAAATTCGCGGACTCACATTCAAAACCACAAACGCAAGGCCCCGGGCGCAAGGCTTCAAGCCTAGCACGACGAGCCCAAGGCCCCAGGCCCAAGCCTTCAAAGCCAAGGCCCCAAGCCCATGACCGCAGGCCTAGGACTTCAGCCCCAAGCCTTTAGGCCGAAGGCTTCAGGCCCAAAGCATCGCGCCCGAGATGTGGAGCCCGAGCCTTCAAACCCAAAGCCGTGAGGCCAAAACTTCAGACGAAACCCTTCAAAGCCCAAAGCTTCAACATGTAAGCCCAAAGGCCCAAAACCTAAGCGCGAAGCCCGAAGCTTTACGTCTCGAGCTTCGCCGAGGCCCAAAGCTTCAAACTGAATTGAAAGCCACGGGCTTCAGTACAGGCTGCACGCCAAAAGCTTCAAACTTGCCCACAAGAGTGAAGCCCCCACCCCAAAAAGCCTAAGCGCAAAGCCCTGCACCCGGGTCAAGGCTTCCACTCCAAAAACTTGAACCATATCCAAAAGCAGAACACTTTGAAACACCTCAAAAACCTCAGCGGGGCGGCCTCCCCTGTCAAATTCCGCGGCGCCTCTGTCCCGACTCGCTCCCCCCCGCGGACCAACTCCGCCAAGGAAGCGCCGCGACCTGGCGGAAAAGGAGCGGGGGAGGGGCGCGCCTTGGCGAAAGAAATGCCTGAAGGAGGTGGAGGATTCTAGTTGGGGGGAGAGCTATCAGGCGCTGTAGTCCTCTAGTATTTTTCAAAACAAGTTAGTACACCATAAGCACCACAGCAGGGGATAGCCCTATGCTTACTCGTACTCCGCCAAGCTCTATCTCTTTTTCTCAGAAGGAACAAAGAGGAAAGGCGCGCCCCCTTGGCAGAAAAAGATCGAATCGAACTCCCCCGGGCCAGCAGATGAAGATGCATAAGCATACCAAATAAAGGCTAGGCTAGGTAGCTTCAGCCTACTAGATTCCCACCTAGCAGAGGACGAGACAGGGCAGGCTACTGATGCTGGCCGAAGAGGTAAATCTTAAGAGAAAAAAAACAACAGCGCCCCCTCCAAACTCTCAACCACACACACCCGAACCAAAAACACGCGACCCCCGTCGAAGGTTTCCACGCTCTCTTTTCTTACCAACAAACGAAGAGCAACGATCAAACAAGCCCAACCAGTCAGCCCATGAGCATGGCGACCAAAATTTTTGATTTCAGCGAAGGTGAATAAATTTTAAAAAGAAGCAGGCGCCACACGCTTGATCCTATTCAAAGGAGGCAAATATTAGAGGTATCAAATTTACGCGCCTCAGCTTTCATGCAAAAACGGCCAAACCTAATAAGAGACCCGCAAACCCCCAGGCCGGCTATTCCGCTGCGTGCCTCTTCAGTGGCCACACGCCGCCAAAAGCCCGGCCCCTGTTCCGCCGATCACCTGTCGCGTGGGGAAGGGGCCGGGAAAGCTGGCACGCCATGCCGGGGGAAATGCGTGCAGAAGGTGAGCGATGCTAGTGGGAGGAGTGCTACCGGGCGCTTCAGTCTAGTCAAAATTAGAACAGTCTAGCAAGCTGCCTCGCCGCTAGCTGTAGGGCGCCGCCGAGATATAAAAAACCTGAATCCTGAGTGCCCATCACTTAGAAAAGGTAAGTTGCTGTAGATGAGCCGTGACTAAGAAAGCAACCAAGAAACCTGAAAAAAGTCAGACTCAAAAAAAGCCAGCGCCATCGTGTTGTGCGTGCTAGAAAAGTGAGGAAGCTGTCACGGCAGAAGCCTCACTAAGAAAGAAAGCCTGAAAAAAAGGAAGAGGACGTAGAGGCAAAGGTGAGAAAATTATACTAAAAAGGATCCCTTGCCCTTTAACTCTCTTCCATCCTCAGAAATGTTGTAAGTATGACGACTACTCTCCATAGCACCGACACGACCACCCAGTAAGCCCCGAAGGGAAAAAGATCAGCCACTAAGCCAGACAACGCCGGACCAAGATGAAATGGAAAAAGTCTGAGTTTAAGAACTAGTAAAATTCAAAAGATCCTCCCCACGCGTCCCGCCTAAGACAAGTCAGACTAAGAAAAATCCTTGCAAACAACGAACCAGGAAGATCTGCTCCTAGTTGTTGTTGCTGATGTAGTTCCTCCCTGGAGAACACTATAAACCAGACGAAGCCGAACGCGATAAACCACAAAAGGGCAAGACCCTGCATTCCTGACGGCAACCACGCTGCTGGCATCCCACAAGTGACAGACTGCCAGCACCAAGTAGAGGGCAAGACCATGCCTTCACAGCACTCGAACCCTAAGAAAGCCCTATCACAGCCTCACAGCAAGAGCAGCGAAGCCCGCTTCAAAAACAAGACGCAGGCCCACTCCCTTATTTATATGAGGCAGCACGCAAAAGCGCAGCGCCGCACAACACACAGACACACACGCAGACACAGAACGCACAGACACAGAACGCACAGACACAGAACGCACAGACACAGAACGCACAGACACAGAACGCACAGACACAGAACGCACAGACACAGAACGCACCACAGACACAGAACGCACAGACACAGAACGCACAGACACAGAACGCACGGACACAGAACGCACAGACACCGAACGCACAGACACAGAACACACAGACACAAAACGCACAGACACAGAACACACAGGCGCAGAACGCACAGACGCAGGACGCACAGACACAGAACACACAGACGCAGACCCAGACGCAGAACGCACAGACCCAGACGCAGAAAGAACGCACAGACCCAGACGCAGAACGCACAGACCCAGACGCAGAAAGAACGCACAGACCCAGACGCAGAACGCACAGACCCAGACGCAGAACGCACAGACCCAGACGCAGAACGCACAGACCCAGACGCAGAACGCACAGACCCAGACGCAGAACGCACAGACCCAGACGCAGAACGCACAGACCCAGACGCAGAACGCACAGACCCAGACGCAGAACGCACAGACCCAGACGCAGAACGCACAGACCCAGACGCAGAACGCACAGACCCAGACGCAGAACGCACAGACCCAGACGCAGAACGCACAGACCCAGACGCAGAACGCACAGACCCAGACGCAGAACGCACAGACCCAGACGCAGAACGCACAGACCCAGACGCAGAACGCACAGACCCAGACGCAGAACGCACAGACCCAGACGCAGAACGCACAGACCCAGACGCAGAACGCACAGACCCAGACGCAGAACGCACAGACCCAGACGCAGAACGCACAGACCCAGACGCAGAACGCACAGACCCAGACGCAGAACGCACAGACCCAGACGCAGAACGCACAGACCCAGACGCAGAACGCACAGACCCAGACGCAGAACGCACAGACCCAGACGCAGAACGCACAGACCCAGACGCAGAACGCACAGACCCAGACGCAGAACGCACAGACCCAGACGCAGAACGCACAGACCCAGACGCAGAACGCACAGACCCAGACGCAGAACGCACAGACCCAGACGCAGAACGCACAGACCCAGACGCAGAACGCACAGACCCAGACGCAGAACGCACAGACCCAGACGCAGAACGCACAGACCCAGACGCAGAACGCACAGACCCAGACGCAGAACGCACAGACCCAGACGCAGAACGCACAGACCCAGACGCAGAACGCACAGACCCAGACGCAGAACGCACAGACCCAGACGCAGAACGCACAGACCCAGACGCAGAACGCACAGACCCAGACGCAGAACGCACAGACCCAGACGCAGGACGCACAGACCCAGACGCACAACGCACAGACCCAGACGCAGAACACACAGACACAGACTGACACACACGCAGCAACGCAAGAAAGAACGCACAACACGAACCAGCGCCCTCTATGATGTAGGTATCTATCGTAACAAAAAAGCTACAAATTGCAAGTAACAGAAAAACTTGCAAAAAAGACCCACTCGCGCAACGCAGGCCCGCTCCGCTCCGCTCCGCTCCGCCGCGCAGCGCAGACCCGCTCCGTCGCGCAGCGCTGACCCGACGCAACGCAGACCACTCGCTCGGCTCGCTCGCGCAGCGTAGACTCGCCCGCGCTGCGCAGACCCGCTCGCGCAGCGCAGACTCGCTCGCGCCGTGCAGACTCGCCTGCGCAGCGCAGCCTCCCTCGCGCAGCGCCGACGCGCTCGCGCGCTGCAGATGCCATGGAGCTGAGCCCTCGCAGGCCCACGCAACACCCGCAAGCAGAGGCAGGCAGACGCAAGCTCGCGCGCGCAGATCAAGCGGGGCGCATGAGCTTCCCACGATTTCATTCCCCAAGATTATACTTTTTTGCGATTTTTTTCTTTTTTTCCCCCTTTTTTGTAGCGTGTTCTAAAGTTTGTAAACCCTCTTAAGGGCAAAGAAATATAAGAACTCGCTAAGCCCAAGCAACAACTATTATATCATCAGGCAAACAGAGTGCAGCTGCATGCAGATGAGATAAACAAAACTGAGGCTGCGCTCTTAGTCATCCATGCGGCGCATAGTTGACGCAGGGGTCGCGAAAGGAACATCGTACAGCCTAGCCATGATGTAATTCTAATTTGCCAATTGAAAATCTTTAACTAAGTACTCCCTGCACTTTCATGATCTGGAGATTTATATTTTTTTGGCAGTGCTCCTGCTCATATCTCGTCTTCCTACTTTTAGGATAAGATAGGAGTTAGCCCAACCATGAGGGGGTGAGCTTTCGAGGCCATTGAAGAGCAATAAAAGATGGATTTTCACTCTTATCCCAATGAAACTCTTATCCTCATGAAACTTCTATCCCAATCAAAGAGAGTGTTCACTTTTATTCTTGTAACTCTTATCCGAGTGAAACCATAAAGACAACGCCATCCGTGGAGAGATCCGCCACCCAGAAGAAGATGAAAAAAACCAACAAGAAAGAGGCATAGGTTTGCCATCCCCAGCCTCCACTTAGACGGGGCGCCTTTCCATCGGAATTCCCCTCCTCCTCCTGCAGCCGCTTCACCATGGCTTCCTCCAAGTCATACTCGGCGTTTTCCTCCATTTCTCGATTCCAGGCCTCCATCTTTGTCAGATGATGGACGATAGATGCTCGCCTTTTTGGTCAGTTTCCTCTGTCGTTCTCTGAGAGGGTCGCGCGGAATCGATGTTGGGTGCAGATGTTAGTCGTGAGGAGATTGCGCACACAAGTGCAAGCCTGTTCATCAGTAGATAGAAACAAGGAGAGAATCAAAGACAATACAAATAAGTTTGAATTTCTAAATACTAATACGCAACTCCGCAGGGTCTCGGTCTGGCCAACAATAAATAATAAAGGCTGAACTCTTGGCCTAAATTGTAACTATGATGAGAAACACACAACAACGCAATCACAAACGAGCTCGCTGTGGCCCCGCAATAGAATACCGGAGCCCAGCTTGCTTAGTTGTGCAAAACACGCACAGGCGCACGAAACTAGCAAAGAAACCATAATTAATGCGCTACATGTGGCCTCAGTCAACCATCGACACCATTAAGGGGGCTGACAATGCGAAACAGAAACACCACCCGCGGCGATTGATAAATCAGTTAGCAACAATCACCCAACCCTGCGATTGTTGAATGACGACCAATTTTTTCAGCAAGCAGTATCTTTCTCAGCATAGAAAAAGAAGTGGGCCCTAAACTATCACCCACCCATGACAGAGTCGCTGCCACTCCGTCCTCCCCCTGTAGTTGGGCCTCGTATCTAATAGCACAACAACAAGTGGAAAAACGAAGCCTGACGACGGCCGGGCCACATTCAAGATTCTGGGTCTCCACACGCAGGGCGCAACGAATTACGCAACGAATTATGCCGTCAGTGGCGGTTCATGTTGTTCAGGCGGTTCTGTTCATAGGGTCCTCCGCGAATCAGGAATCATGAGCTACCTGCTCGCCACTTCTGTCCTATATATTTATAGATACATAGTACTATTTTCTTCGGGAGGCGGGGAGCATGAGCATCAGGGGAATAGCTCCTGGCCAAAAAGCCCAAGCTCCCACTTGCTAACTGATGCGCCGGCGGGTTCAACCATGGTCACACTATGTGATTTAAATAAAGGGAGGGAAGAGAACCACCAAAAAAGAAACTAAATCGAAATGCCAGGATAGGGGAGATGAGATCTATAGTGCTGGAGAGGAATCCAAGGGCAGGGGAGATGAGATCTACAATGCTGGAGAGGAATCCAACGACAGGGGAGATGAGATCTACAGTGCTGGAGAGGCATACTCGAGGTCCGTGAGTCTACTCTTTCTGCAGAAGTTTTCATCTACAACTGAAAATTTCTGTCAGAAATGGACTATCATAGTAGAGAACTCATTCTTGTTGCTATTCATTTTACATTTTGTAGAAATGATTTTTATCAACCAGCACGTCGAAGGGAATAAGGAGTGAAACTGAACCTGGTTGCAGCTTTGCCGTCGTGGTCTGGCGTTTTCTTATTTCCAACGTGACTCCGACTTCTTCTTGATGTGCTTGCTTTCGATGCTTGGATTCTCGTTGTAATAGCTTCGAGAAGAGACTTCGCACTACGTGCGACGCGATGATGATTTTTGGTCCATCGATGTTCTTGTTCTGTAAGTATACTACTTCCTTGTCGTGAAAATACCTCTGTTGTAGCAAAATCAGCGATCTATATTCTTTAGTCCTTCGGTCCTCGTGTGGTCTTTGTGCTCCTGAAAAAATTCTTATGTTTACAACTTCTTCTATGTATCCTATAATCCTAATACTCAAAAGTCGCGAACGATTCCGATGAAAAGTAATATGCGATATCGGTGGATATGGGTCGATGGTTGAATACGAAATATTACTAGTATGCACAGCTTCTTTCTTCTACGTTGAGGGTTAGGTGGATACAGTCAATTAATCTATTGTGGTGATGCTGATGATGATGTGTACAACTGTTGTGGGAGTGCCTCTAGACTGCTTGATGGTGTTCATGCATTTCAGTTTTTCCGTATGAGAACCTTTCTTAATGAATGTCAATGTTTTGAATCACTGAGAAATTGAAAGAGAATGTTACAAATCTATAAATCTTTTTTGTATACTAAACTAGACCACAGGGGTTAGATAGTATCAGCGAGGATGTGGTTGAGTGCGAGACTATCACGAGCTCTGCTCTTCTCCTGGAATTCGTGACTAATGTGGGTTGGTTCATGGAAATGGTTGGCTCATGTACTATTGGCTGACTGCTTATGTAGAAGTATATCCGGTCATGTACTATTGGCTGACTGCTTATGTAGAAGTATATCCGGTCATGTACTATTGGCTGACTGTAAGAAGTATATCCGGTCGTGTTCGTGAAGTCGAAAATAAAATGGAGTAGATGCTGCAAAAAAATCTCAACGATGAATGAAGAAGAGTCGCCGATCATGATTATAGAAGAGGATCATGTTGCCGTATAATTTGTTACCACGAAGAACATGAGGAACGTGATGTCATGATGATGAAAGTGAGTATTTCGTCCACTAGAAATGAGTACTAGAAATGGGTGTCGGGATACACGACCTTTGTTTTTCAGGTCTAAAAATAAGGGCTTTGCATTCCAAAACGACAAGAAGCAGCGAAGAAGTTCATCACCGAGCAACGAATTTCAAACTCTTGTTCGCTCAGTCACGAATAACCGGAAAACTCGTCTTAGACAGAAACTGACGCAGGGCGCCCCTCATCGATACTAGAGATAAAATTTCCAGTCTAGTTGTACTACAGACTCCTCTCGTATAGTCACGACGCAAAGCATCTTCTTCTCTGGTTCGAAACAACAGCGCTCGTCTCTCGTTTTTAAAGGTCGGCTTATCAAGAACAGAACCAAGGACGCGTCGACGCTAGTAGATTTGAGGACGAATCGCTCTTCAGACGCAGCGTTCACCTTCACTGACGTGGATAAGGTGGATCTAAGATTCAGACTAACAAGCCAGGCCGCTACTTTTTTTGTATCGCGGGGCTGCTAGGAGAGTAGCCTCAGTTTTATCCTGTTCGCAAACGGGCGGCAGGTGGAGTGCATCAGCCTCCTGAGACCACGGGTGCACTAATTGAGGAAGCATCGGAACAAGACGCGCTCCGCATCTACCCCTTGCTGTATGCATCTTCGAACCCGTGCGCCCCTGCAGATGTAACTGACGTCGACGGGGGCGCCTCGAATAATGGCGCCTTGTTGCGGTAATTCAGCCAACTTCTATCCCGATCGTTCGCAACAGCTACTGTGGATGTCCTCCTGACTGGTGTAGGTCTTATTTTAGACGAAAATCGAAGAGGCACTTCTAGGAATCTGCGGCTTTTCTGCTCGAACTCAGTAGATTGCCCGCACCGAAAGAATATAAGATCCGAGAGAGGTCAAGAATGAACATGGTGCTTGACGTGTTTCCCCCTTCCTGCACTCGCACTCGCTAATCATTTATATTCCTGATCGTGACGTCGATGGATCATACATTGAAAAAATACATACATTACTTACCATATTAATTATCTTCCACTTACAAAGAGTCCGCATCATTTTCTACTTACAAAGAGTAGAATAACTACATAAGTGCAGTTACGTGATCAGTGTTTCCCTACATGCTCACATAACGAGGACTTCAAACGCAATATGAAGGCCACTCTACTCTCGACCTCGGAGAAACACGGCCATAACGTCTTTGTTTATCTGAGCTCGCTGGACTCCCACTCCAATTTTGTGACTGCGCGTCACTTGATCGTAGGCGATGCGGTAGCAGTTTGGCTCTACTCCTGCACCTGCCTGTCCTTTAATACTAATACTTCTACGAGAAGAAGAAGAACTATTGGAACAACTAGTACCACAACTCCTGCTAAAGTTACTCACCAGACTACTGGCACAAGCACTTTCCATGCTGTTGATGAGATTGAGACTCGTACACGAACTGCTAAAAAGTAACGCATTCTTAGTGTCACAAGCAAGGCCACTCGTAGTGCAAGAACTTCTTCTTCCCAAGAACAGAGGCTCCCTCTTTTATCCGCCTCGCCTTTCCTGTGCCCGATGCGGAGGCTACCATTGCTACCACTAGTAACCCCACCAGCACGACAAGCTTCTTCTTCAACAAGACCATTTATAGAAGAGGACGAAGATGGTGAGGAGAGGACCAGTCTTCCTACTTCACCAATTGTTGTAACTCCTCCAGCGGGTGAAACGATCCCACCTCCCTCAGGTGGACCGAGCCCAACTCCTCTAAAAACAGCCTCTAAAGTGTCCACATTTCTCGGAGATCATGTCTTTTTCAGAAGGGCGCGACCTCGTCCACCAGCACCACTACCACCACCAGCATCTTTTCGAACTTCAGCGCCGCCTCTTTTACTTTCACCTCCAACCCCATTACCACCTCCAGCTCCACCACCACCTTCGTGTCCACCACCGTTGTAAAAGTAATTTGTCAACTACGACTGAGGTTTTGGTCGCCATCCAATTGATGCTGGAATACTCCTGGCTTTGAACGAGTAACCGAATGTCGAAGAAGATGTACTAGACCTAGATTTCGACTCAACATGAACATCAGCGCTTGAAGATGCAACTGATCCACGAACTCTTGGAGATGTGCAGCTCTGAGGCAACAAAACCTTGCCATCCTCTACTTGAAAGGAGTCCTCTGCTATCCTTCTGCTGTTGTAATTGGAAAAAATTCGCTTCATTTCGTCCCGCATTTGCCTTATTTTCAACAGCAAAGGTCGACGATGGCGAAACTTGGCGATTCGCAGAGCCTCCATATTCGATACTTTCGTTCAGCGATATCTTTAGAAGAACATCTTCATCTTTGAGGACTTCAATGCATCTATCACTAGCTAGTGCCTCTATAAAGAACGAACAGAGTTGCGTAAGAACCTCAAGTCTAAGACGAGAAAGACAGAGAAACATTTCAACACGAACTTGGCCTTTGCTTTTGGATCTCCAGATCTTCATATATTCACTCATTCGTCTATAATCAGATAGAGGAGGGGCCTTACAGATAAAAAAAAATTGAATTTCTTCTGAAATATACAATTCCTTGAATTGAATCCATAACATCAAAGCGCTACCATCCACTTCTTGCTGGCGCAGAATTCGTGTCGCTTCCGCGAGTGCCCTATCCTCAGTCGACCGTGTGACACGCGCAACCGACCAAAAGGTTGGCGGGTGTTCGTCTCCCTGTCCTCCGTCATCTTGAGGAGCCTCGTTTTGATCCTCTTCAACTTGAGGATCTCGAACATGATCCTTTTCTTTGCATAATCGGCTCGTCTTTCCAATTAAGGCCCGTTCTCTCCAATGAGTTAGAAGAGCCACCCACTACTTAGGATCATAAGCCACGCGAGATAATGAAATGCTAGCCTTAATGTGAAGTGTCCTCGTAGGCCTCCTCCGTCAAAGTGCCTACTTCTGCAGTACGTAGTTGTTGCGATAGTAGTAACAGGTAAACTAGTATGAAAGCTTCCCGCACTACTTGATGCTTCTTGATGATGCTTACTTTGTTGAAGTGCGTGGCCCAGTTACTTCGCTCTAGCTATGCTTAGTTGGTCGAAGTTAGTGGAAGGCTTCGTAGTAATGCTTACCTCCTGGAAATTTGTTGTAGACTTCTGCGAGATGGTAGACTTCTGATGCTCTAGTCGTGAGTAGTAGACTTCTGATGTGCTGAGTAGAGCGACTACCTTCGTTGATCAATACTGACGTAGTACTGCTAGTTGTTGAACTAAGTAATATGAAGGCTGTACAACGAAAAGGTCAAGAAAACGAAAAATAGCTCCACCGTGAGAGAACTAAGCTGAGCGAACTAAGTTGAGAAATCTCGTTTGTCACTACTTGATGTAAGAGAGAGCTAAGTTTACTTGTCACTACTTGATGTAACCTCCAAACCAAGATATGGTAGTAGATTGAAAACAGTTTGTTGAAAATCGTGGGTAAATGGGAAAAGTTTTGTGCTCCATTAGCTGTGTTCCAAGGAGGGATGCTGGTATTTTCTTGAGAAGTCATTTTTACCATAATATGGAAGAGCTGCCTCGTATGGTACTACTTCTTCACATAATACAATAAGTTTTTACATCCGAGAGTACTTGAAAGTATAGCCTACACGACTAGACGTTTATATCACAAGCGGTGCTCAGAAGTTGGACCCTGTTATTTTCACGATCGATGTGATTAGCTCGTCCTCTTACAGCTTCTTCTAGTCTGGTAGTGTTCACGAGTCGCCATTGTAGTCAGTCACTCACTCACTCACTCACTCATCAATAGGTGGGTCCAATATTGACAACAGAGCTCTTTTTCCTTAACCGAAAGCGACCGCTCGCAACGTCAGAACACGACAGAGAAGCTTTTTCTCAACAGAAGTAGTCCCTCTTTCCTCCACAGTATTCCCTCGGTCTACTATAGCTCTACTTACCTAGTACAATACAATTGCTGCTGCCGCCTCCTGACGATTACACGATGCCCTTCTCTCTAATGATCAGGCACTTGCAGAATCAAAAACTGAAGTCGTCTTCATTTTCAACTTTTCCTATTCGAAATTATTGACGATGAAAGCACTTCACTTGCTTGACCGGAAAGTCGAAGCTGTGAATTTCCGTATTCCCCGAAAATGGCATCATGTATATACTCGCTTTCTTCCTTGTGGTACTATTAGGGTTAGTAGTAGGTGAGCCAATCTAGAGGCTCAGTAGTCCTTAGTTGTACATATCAACTATATAGACTACTAACACCTTGTCCTGCACAATCTGAGTAGTTAGTCTGTGATAGTTTATCTGCAGCATAACACCACTCGAGAGACCACGTCGACGGCGACGCAGAAGCATGCTGACTCACTAAAAACTTGGAAAACATTCCTTATGTATCCAAAAAAGATCTAAAGTTTCTACATCTAGAAAGACTCTACTCCATCTAATATGGAAGGCAGACACTCATTAGAACTCACAAACGACAGGCATAAATATATGTAACGAACTATGGAAGAAAAAACGAGACTTTTGGGATAGTTGTGGTTAGACGAATAGAAGAAAAACAGAAGAAAAGTTCTGGCTTGTCAAAGGCTTCGTCAGGAAATGAAATTCAAATAAACAGAATAAAACTGAAAATTCTTGGATATCAACCTGAAAAGCGAAGTCCCAAATTTGAAAATATCTAAACTCAACTTTCAACATTTCTTCTCCGACCCACCTCCTACCTCCATAGCCGCCTCTACCTCAATACCAAGCTCTATCCCTATTCTATTTACCTCTAAAGCGTCTACGTCTACCTCGTCATCTACCTCTCATGCTGACGGAGTAAAAAACTGGCCATAGCGATACTTCTATTTGAAAAAGCAAGGCGTTTACTGTCCGCACTACTGCCGCTGGCGTCTCGACTGGTGTTATCTCCCTCTCCTTGTATGTCTCCCTTCGAGGTTTACGCGGTAGAGGCCGACGCGCTCTCACTAGAAAAGTGCTTTCTTTGCCTTGCCTTGACTGTCATCAACGACGACTGGTCTCTGGTTGTACCTTCCAAGAATCAGTGGGCGTTTTCGGGGATTCTTTTCCCCCTACTATGCAGTAGTTTGGCGCGAGCATATAGTACCTCCACCGGTGGTTCTCTCGTAGGAAAGTA